CAGAAATTTTTTGTTTCTTTTGATAAAAAAATAGCAAACTTTTCTGCCAACGAACTTAAGAAAAATTATTATAATAAAATAAAGTGCGTTTGTCTGTGTCTCTTTTATAATGCCTGAGTTCCTTCTACCATCTTGAAGTTTAGGCAGTGGCAGCAATGGTCAGTACTAAAAATAGTTTAAAAAAATTTCTATTAAATCGTTCTGTGCAGACATTTGAAAAATAGAATTTTATCATTGGTTTAGAATTAGCTATTGATTAAATACAAATAAAACTGCAGATGATTCTGGTTTGCAAAATTTTTTAAAGATAATTTTTTATTGCTAACTTATATTATTTTTCTAAAAACTTCTGAAACCTTGTGTTAGTTTTGTTTATAATTTCGCTTTAAAAAGGTGGTTCTATTAAATAATGGGATACCAGTAATGGATGTAGTGTGAGTATTTCGATCCTGATTGGTTGTTGTAACATGGCATTTGTTTAAATTAGTAACTGTTCTTTCCATTCTATTTCGAGAAAGCCAATCCTGTCAAGTAACAAATTCTCTTAAGTGACGCGTTATATATTCTTTCATAAAGATTCTTTCGCAAAGATTTCTTCCCATAGATATCTCCACATAGATTTCACTTCTTTCACTATATAATTGTTACTTAGCACAAAGACAAGCACTAAGCCATGTAGAACATAAACCTAATATGAATCGAAGTTGCCAGGTATTAAAAGTAAAAATATATCACAGTTACAATGAAATAAACAGAAACAAATTGTGGGGGGAAATACATCTAACTGAAATAAAACAAATATATGTATTAAAATGGAAAAATTAATGGAGGGAAGCTACTTACTCATTTAGAGGAACCGTAAAAAATCCCCATGCTTAATTAATGGCAATGGTGTTTAATTAGTTCAGAGATGCCAACTGCTCCGGACACACCAAAACAATAAAAAAAAACGGTAAATAACTACAAACTATATTTTACAAATATTTGACTATTTTTGCTTTCTTTTTAGAAGGTATAGCATAAAAACTTACTACAAAGTGGTGAATTATATAAGCTTACGAATTATTTAGAAATAGTGGTGGATAAAAATAAGTACAAAAAGAAGGTATATAAAAAATCTCCTGAATAAAAACCCTGCATATAAACTCATGCAAAGCATGTAATAATTAAAAACCTACAGTGAGTCTAATTATTTGATCTAATTATTACAATACAATAATACCTGATATAATATATATATATATATATAAAAACCGGTTTCAGCCGCATAAAAACAATAAACTGTATAGTATTACCTGATAATTAAGATTTTACATAGAATCTTATAATGCGTCTAATAATTTGATCAGGAACTGTATATTACTATATTTAGTAATTATAAAAACTGCATTAATTCTGCTCAGTTTAAATATAGGTACTGTTGAGAGAGGATTTTTACTGCCCCTCGTAAGGGATAAGTATTATAGAAAATTCTTTGTCTGTGGTAAATTTTGACTATCATGAGTTGACCCAACGCCTTCTATAATTGAAAGTCTCCACACGAATTTTTATAGGTAGTCCGATCAGACCACTATGAAAGTAAATCAGTTTACAAAAGAGCTATTTAATAGTAAATCCACCAAAAAATTGAAAGTGATAGTAAATACATGGCTAAAAAATTTTGTAATTTATGAATATAATTGGTTTGCCTTATTTATTTGTCAACCACTACACAGATTCAATTCTCAAATATGTATGATACATTTCTCTCAATTACTTTTAAAATAGAAATTCCTCTGATATATCACGGGAGCCCCCAAATCCATGAGAATGAAAGATCTAAGACGAGATTTAAAAATCAACAAAATAGATGAGCACATAGCTGAACTATGTGCAAGTTTCTTCAGAGATGCACTCTCTTGTCATATATGCAATTACTTTAAAAATTTCGATTTTGAGCTTATCAAAGACAACATAAAATATAGCCCGGCAACCGCCTCTTTCCTATCAGACGGAGTTTTGTCCCGTAAATTTTGTAAATAGCTGTAAATAATTTTGCGCATTTATTATGTATTTCTCCTTTTCTCTGAGGCTATGTGGCTACTGTGCACCTGAGAAGCTCGGGGGTAAAACCTCGAAGGAAGACGAGGCAGTCTGCCACAAAACCTCTTTTCTCTCTTAAACTTGTTTGTTCAATCTCACTACTTCATTTTAATTTTCTTTCAGTAAAAGATACTGAACCCCAACTTTCACCTTTCAGTTGCGCTTCGGCGATTTATTATTTATTTCCACTCAGATGAATTAGTTAGAGTCCCTAGCGGGGCTGATGCTAAGATAACCATCGCATATGAGTATGAGTATTACTTTTAAAATAGAAATTGGGCTAATGCGCACAACTTGTTCGCTTTTTAAATAATCTGCGCAGACTACTTATAGAATCCAGTGTGGAGGCTTTCTTAGTGATTACATAATTTTAAAAAGATTGTTACAACTAGCTTAACTGTTTCCGATTTTCATTTTATTTTTGAAATTAAAATTAGTATTTTTTGTTTTCAGGAATGTTCTAAGGACTCAAAACATGAGCAGATTTGAAGATAAATTGCTTCGTACCTTTACTATATCTAAGGTGAATTCATAATAAACTGTTACAAACTTGTTTTTTCAAAAGACGATACCCTTTTAACAGAACTTGTTTGCAATAACTTTAAATGTCATCAAATTTATTTCTATTATAATTTTTCTTTCATTTTTGATAGTTTGGCCAATTCTAATGGATAAAAAAAACATGGAAATCGATATTCAAGTGCAACAGCTATTAACGTTGCTTAAGTCTGAGAAAGCAGCCATCATCGATCTATTTCTGAAATACGATGGACGAAGCCAAGGCTGTACTTACAAAAATATTTTAATAGCTATACGAAATGCTATTAAAACCAATGATGAAGTTAACTTTAAAGAATTATCTTGCATTCTGGCGTTACTGAGTGATGTAAACATCTTCCCCAATTTAATTTCCTGCTTTCAATGTGATGATAATCCCTTTAAATTGTCTAACGTAGTTATAATGGCTTGTAAAGACGAACGATTGGAAATCTTGAACCAAATATTCAGTGATGATTCTTCGATTATCAGTGATCTCTCCACTAAAGTTGATGGAACTTTTCCTTTGCCTGACGATAATGATGAAGAAAGTCACAATGCCTTTTATTATGCTGTGCGCTCAGGAAATACGAAACTTCTTGAAGTTTTAATGAAAAAGTGGCCATTGGATTATTTTTCATCACACGCTGAAGAACTGTGCTCTCTCCTGTCAAATAGCTTGAATGAGTTATTGTTAAAAAATGTAGACATATCAATCGAAATGAAGATATTTGTAAACAGTTTTTTACTCGATTACTACTTCGAGGAAAACCCTCCGTCAGACTCAAATGATTATTCTCATGATAATATCCAAGAAAGAATGTCACTCATTTTGGAGTATAGTGACTCACTTAAAATAAATTTCCCAAAATGCGAATCTAAAGACCTGGTGATTTTTTTGGCGAAGCGCATTGCTCTGAACGTATTCACTTTGAAAAAAATACTGAAATCCACATACGACAGAATTCCTTGGGAAGAGATGGAATACCATTTAATTTCATTCATCAGATACCTGAGCAATCAAGGAAGCTATATCAACTGCTTTATAACAGAAAATGACTTCGTAAAATATCTTGGTTATTTTTGTGAATGCATGGTTAATGAATCCAAAGGAATCAAAGATATTGATATTAAAGCTTTAAGTAAACTTCCAGACATTAGACGTTGCGATGTTGTAAACGGCATTACTGTTAAATATCCATATTTTAAAGAATTTTATCAAAATTATGATTACATTCGAGACTACGAATCCCTAAATATTATTAAAAAGTATGTCGACATAGTGAGTGAAGTGAATCCTTTAGAGAAAGGCGGGAAAATTGTCATTATTAGGGCCTTGCAAGTACTGGGGGAGAACTTAAAAAATTCGCTGGAGTCACCTAATCTCTCTTTTGCTACAAATGAATTTTTGAAGTTTTTTATCCCAAATAAAACAAGTAAAATTTTAAAGATTTTGCGAGACTCTTTTTCGCATGGCTTTCCCTTATCAACCGCTCAAGAAATTGAGAGCGTTTATGGTTCCGATTTCTACACATGCGTTAAGAATGATGTGAAAAGTTTAAATTACGGAATCACTTCTGTTCTCCAGAAAATGAAATTCAAATCTGTCAGATCTTTGTTGGAGAGAATTTGCAATTGCGAAGACGTGGATTCTTTCAAAGACATTTCTCGCATGATTCGGCTGATAAGTCTTGAAGAAGACGTAGAAAACTTTTTACCGAATAACGTCGATTTAATTGAGGTCGAAAAACTCATATCTGATTTAGATGAAATGATAGAGGTAAAAACACATTATGAAGAAATTATCTTTTCAAAATTATCAGATATAATAGATTGTGAAAAGAGCTATTTAAAAAATCTCGGTAGTGAATTTGCTACAGCTCTTTCATTGTTAGTTCTAACGCGCCTTCCAGAGTACCAAATGCATAGTTTTTTTATTTCTATGAGGAAGATGTTTATTAGGCACACTCTGAACAACATGAACCCTCATATGATATCACGGGGCTTAGCAAGAATTGGAATATTAGTCAATGAATTAACCAAAAGTGGGAAATGTAAAGTAGATGAACAGGATTTATTAAAATTCCATTCCACTATTTTCGAGATTTTTTACTATACCGAAAGACAAGGACACGAAGTCAAACATCTTCAAAAACTCAGAAAAACTTCTGAAAAAACAGTTAAAATAAACTCTGGGAAAATAAAAAATATTGAAAAATCACCTTCGGTATGTTACCAAGACATCTTATCGGATGATATTAAAGTTTTGAGAAAAATTGTAAGCGAGCATAATTTTTCTGAAAATAACATTGAGTCTTTTTTGAGGTATGAAAATAATTTAAAAGTACAAGTAGAAATTGAAATGCTTATTTTATCTATTTTATCCAGCTTAGAGTCTTCTAATCTTTATTTAATTGAAAGTCAGTTATCTACAAATGATAATCCCCTATTGGTTGGGAGATATCTAAGGAATTATCTAGCTCATGGGAATTCTCTAGTGGATATTTTAATGGATTCAACTCAATTTATATTTTTATTTGCTTTGAAAATTATCAAAAATGATATTTATCGAAACAACAATTTAGTGATCAGACGCATAAGGAATAAATCGAAATCAAAATCCATCGTAGAAAATCAAAAAAGATTGTTTAGTGCTCTGTCAAGTAATTCATTTGATAGTGTGATAAATTTAATTAGAGAAGGAGCTGATGTATATGGGAGAGATAGCAACTTGATGACAACTTTACATTTTGCTTCAAAATCTTCCAACGTTAATATTATAAAGTTCTTAATTAACTACGGTTTGAATCCAAACGTTAAAGATTTTCACAAAAGAAATCTTCTCCATGTAGCTGCAGGTTCTGGAAATACTGTCATAGTTAATTACATTATAGACGAACTTAAAATAACAGTTGAGGAACAGTGTGCGCAAAACCAATCAGCGCTCCATGTAGCAATAGAAAATGGCTGCATTGATATCGTTGAAATTTTACTGTCACACAAATCTGTAATTAATGCCGGCCCATTTTTTATGACACCATTATACACCGCTGTAGTCAATAATAAAATAAAAATTGTTGAATTATTTTTTCAAGAAATAGAAGATATAAATTCAATCAGAGTTGTACAGGGATTTAATTTTTTTCATCTAGCAGCAGAGATGGGTCTCCTAGACATGGTGGTTTATTTTCTTGGTAAAGGAGCTGATGTCAATTCTGTATCGGATAAATTGGTCACAGCCTTACACCAATCAGCTTATACTGGTCATCTAGAAATTGTCGCAACTTTGATTTCAGAAGGAGCAAATGTAAATGCTGAGGATTCATTTAATCGCACTCCACTGCATTACGCTGCTATGAATGGTCAATCATTGATTGTTGAAGTTTTGCTGAAACATGGTGCAGATTTAAAAGCTTTAGACAATGAAGGACATTTACCATTGCATTTTGCTATAATGAAAGGAAATATTGACACATTAAAAACTCTTTTAAAACATGAAGCAAGTATTAAAGACGTTACGACAAAGCGTTCTTCTATATTTGGGTTTGCCATTCCTCATGGGAACTTAGAACTTATAGATTTTTTAATTGATAATGAAGCACCCATTAATATAAGAGACGCTAATGGCTTCACTCCTCTTCATCTAAGTATACAAAGTGGTTCAATAGATATTTCTCTGAGATTAATTGAACGTGGAGCTGAAATTAATGCCGTGACCGAAAATGGTTTTACACCTTTGAGTCTTTCAATTCAACTAGGGTATTTTGAGATATCTGATAAACTCTTATCTGAACAGGCCGATGTTACTACTGTTGATAAAAACAGGCAATCATTATTGCATATGTGTATCACATCTTTTGAAATTCGGAAATTAATGAAAAGCGATTACGAAATAAATGATAAAGATAAATATAAAAAACTAATTTCTAACCGGAGTGGAACTAATTTATTTAAAAGGCTTGTTCAAAAGGGAGTCAGTGTTGAAAATATCGATATCTTTGGTATAACTCCTTTACACTTAGCTTGTCACTCCGGTTACATTGATATCGTGCAATACTTAATAAATATATTGACTCAAATTGATATTCAGGACAAAAACGGATATACACCATTACATTACGCTATTTACAACAATCATCTTGAGGTAGTTAATATACTGATAGCGAGTGGAAAGTGTTCCTTAAAATCAAAGACATTAAGAGATGATACTGCATTGAGCATATCTTCAGAAAACAATTACGAGGAATTAACTCGGTTTTTGATCAATAAAGAAGCTGATGTAAATGATGGTAACCCACTCTACAAAGCTCTAATGCAAGGACATCAGGATATATGCATTCTTCTCCTGCAAAATAAGCACACTGATATTGATAAACAGTTTAGAGACAAAGGTGAAACTCTTCTTCAGACTGCTTCAATAAAAGGCCTGGAACGGGTGGTTTCGTGTTTTTTAGGCAAAAAGAAATTTTCAAAATCAATTGACATAAGGAATTCTTTATTTTTTGCCATTCAGCAGGGTTACGATGGCATTGTCAGCCTTTTATTAAATCGCAGAGCTGATGTGAACATAGTTTTTGAAAATGACGTTTCCCCTTTGCACCTAGCAGCTTCACGAGGCCATTCAGAAATCATTAAAATATTGCTAGATAGGGGAGCTGATTCCAATAAACAGAATTCACAATATCGAAAACCTATTGAACTGGCTGTATGGTATGGTCATTTGGATTCGGTAAAAGTATTTTTCCAGAATACAATTGTAAACGTAAATGAAAAATTCTATGAAAACTATACTCTATTACATTTTGCTGCTGAACGTGGACACCTAGACATAGTGGAATTTCTAATTAACGAAAAAGCATCATTAAATGCAGCAAACAGCTTGGGCTCAAAGCCCATACACGTCGCAGCACGTGAGGGACATCTGCACATTGTTGAATACTTTATTCAATGCGACGAAACACTAGTAACAGAACGTGGGTGCTCAAACACGACTCTTCTACACTATGCAGCTCAAACAGGTCAGACAGATATTGTTAAATATTTAGTTCAAAAGGGAATTGATGTCAATGAGCCTAGTGATGATGGAGTCCGACCCATTCATATAACCTCATTGTTTGGTTTTGAAGAAGTACTCAAAGTACTTATTGACAATGGTGCTATTTATGACTGCACTTTTGATGTCTTTCAAAGAACACCATTACTTCTGACTGATAATGAAAGTGTTAAAAAAACACTGCTGATGATAGAAGAACTTTTTCACTCAGTTAAAAGTAACAATATTTCGAATGTAAAATCACTCATTAATAAGGGAGCTTGCGTCAATGCAAAGAATTCGAAGAATGCTACACTTCTGCATTATGCTGCATGGAAAGGAAATGCTGAAATTGTTCAAGTTCTTTTGGAAAACAATGCAAATCCTACCCCATTTGGAAAAAATCGTGCTACTCCGCTTCATTATGCGTCAAAGTCTGGAAAAATTAAAATAGTAAAAATTCTGTTAGAAAATGGTGCTATGTATAATACAATGACAGCTGATAGGAAAACTCCTTTAGATTTAGCTTCAAGCGAAGACGTTATTGCTTTATTAAAATTAATCGATAATGCATTCGAGAATGTTCAGAATTGCAATATTCATATTTTAAATAGTTTCGAGAATTTTGAAAACTCTGATTCATTTAAATCGTTAGCGTGTGCAAAAAATAAGGAAGGAAAAACTCTAATGGCTTGTGCTGTTCTCCATGATTTTCCTAACTTAAAACATCTCAAAAGTATATTTATAAAAAATTATGATGCCTTGAAATCTAAATGCGCCAATTTGTTTGCCAAAGAAGAATTTAACGAAGCTTTAAATACGCTCAACAACTTTCAGAAGAAAACATCACAAGCTCTTGGTTTAGAAAATCCCGCAATGTTGGAATCCGAAGAACTTTCAGCAAAAATACTGTCTCAACAGCATAAATATCAAGAGGCACTTGATAAATTTCAAGCAATATTTCAAAAGAAGAAAAAGATGTTTGGACTGAATGACAGTCGCACTTTGAGAACCCATTTCTTTATCGCTTTAAATCTCCACTGCTTAGGTAGAAATTTAGAAGCAATGGAAATTTTAAAGGATGTTCACTCGCAACAATGCAAATTATTTGGATCAGATCATTCTGAGACTTTGATTACACTGAGTCATATGGCAACAGTAATGGATGAGCTTGGTCGTCATGAAGAAGCACTGAAAAAAAATAACACTGTGTTTAAAAAGCTTCTTTCAATGTTTGGTCCAGACAATCTTCTAACTATACAAGCCCAAGAAAGTCTCGCAAATAGTTTTCATCGCTTGGGTAAATATGATGACGCTCTGTCTGGCTATAAATGTGTTTACGAACTTAGAAAGAAAAAACTAGGGCATTTTCATACAGACACTTTAATCTCACTTCATAATGTAAAACATGTGTTGTGCATTCAAAACTTGTGTGATGAAACGCTCAAAGACTTTCGAGAAGTTTTACATATTCAAGAGAAAGTTCTGGGTCCGAAGCATGTCGTCACATTAAGGACTGAACATCATTTAGGTGTGTTCTTATTAAAAAGGGGTAAATTGAAGGAGGGTCATGAAATTTTAAAAGAAAATGTTGAAAAGCAAAGAAATATCTTTGGAAGTGAGCATGCAGTACTTATGAAATCAGAACGAGCTGTGGAAAAGATTGATATGCTCAATTTGCATACATCAGCAGATTTGAATAAAACCAATGAAGTTCCGACATCAAATGAATCGCTTATAAAAGAAACTTTAAACTTCGCAAACATTGATTCCGACGGGAGGACAATTCTTCATTTCGCTGCTAGCGAAGGTCATTTATTTTTAGTGAACGATGCATTGCAGAATGGATGTAATGTTATGCACACAACCCGAAAAGGAAATACGCCTTTGCACATTGCTTCTTCCAAAGGTCACGCTGAAATTGTTGAAAAACTTTTAAAGCATGCAAAAGAAAACAACTTCGATCAATTGACAACATTTATAAATGCTAAAACAATAAATGGAGGAAATTCTGCATTGCACGCAGCTGCTAATCTTGAAACTGTTAAGATTTTGCTTAAATACGGTGCCATTTATAATGTACAAAATAAGGAAAGTAAAACACCAAAAGATTACACTACAGTAAAAGAAATTTCTGATTTTCTACAGCTTATTGATGAATTTTTCTTTGGTGGTTTGATCGGAGATAGCAAAATCATATCCAAATTCAATGATTTTGGATCAGAAGAAAAACTAGCAGTTTCAAATGCAAGAAATGAACAGAATCGCACATTGATCCAAGTTGGTGAGGCCAAAGGGCACAAAATTCTAATCAAAGAGATTGAGTTAATTTTAACAAACAAATGAGTTAATTTTAACAAGTTAATTTTAACAACATAAGTAACTGAACACTGAGTTAATTTTAACAACATAAATACAAACAATTATTTTGCAAAGCACCTTAAGAGAATTGTATGTTTCTAAAGTCTCGTTTTTGTTTTCATTGTATTTTTAGTTACTATATACTTAATTTTATATTATTAGTAAACAATTGCAAAACCTGTTAGCTGCTTTCTTTTCTGTTGACAAAACTCGGAAAGGGAGTGGCTTGATTAAATTTGTATAAAAAGGCCTTTCAACTCGAAATTTCTTTTTAAAAAATTTAAACATATATAAGTATACAGGAATATTTTGAAAATTGCAGGAAAATCTATAGATGCAATGATATATGCAACTTTTTTCTGATAGTGGGTTTTGCACCTAAATGATATTTGCAACTGAATGATATGTGAAGTTTTTGTAAGATCTACTGTTATGATCTCGTTTTCACATACATAGTTGCATGCAAAATGTACAGGGTCTGTTCGAAAGTAATGCCACTGATTATATGTGTATCCATAATGAATTGTATTGGTATCGGCTGCAGGGATCGGTAATAGTGGCGATTAGCTTTAGCATGTTTGGACGCTCATTCGCCTCTGATCCCCCAGACAGCAATAAAAACACAATTTGGGAAAACTCGTTTTCATCTCTCTTGCAAATTGCTATTAAGTTTTGAGTAAAACTTCGCAAATTTGCATTGGAAACTCTTCCCATATTCAAAATAAGTATTTCTGGTCATTAATAATGGTCGCGCAAATTTTACCTGTAGAACAAGACATTTTTGAAAATCCGTGAAAAAACATTGCTCCGAAGGGATTGACAAGCCTAAGAGGCTTGCACTAAGGCTCTAGAGAACATTTTGAAAAAGGCCCATGACACCTTTGATGCCTAAAAATAGCACTGGAAGAGATTTATCGGTGAAGGAGGAACCTATTTTTAAAAGCTTGCAAACGTTGTACGAATTTCATCGATAAATGTTTTTCAGTGACATTTCTTTTCGAACAAACTCTTTAAATATTTTTCAGGAATTATTTGTACCAAAGCGGCCAGATTTTGGGCTTTTTGAGAGAGGTTTTTTTCTTGTGCTACTTAAATTACATTTGAACTAGGAAATATAAGCAGATTTTTTTTTAATTTTTCCAATATTTAAAAACATTATCGAATGACTGACAAAAATTCTATAAGACTGCTATATATATTGTAAAGGGACAGAATAAAACTTTCAGAATTCTTGATATCTTCGCCAATGTTTCAAACGCCTTACAGAGTGACGCCTGGAATAAAATGATATTTCATATGATCATTTGTATCAGTTAGATGTAGTGGTTGATGAAAATAACTTTAAATTAACTTTACTAAACAACGAATCATGCATTAAAACAGGGCTGCCAACTTTCTACGTTTTTGGGAAAATATTTTTCTAGTGATTAGTTTTATTCTAGTGGTTATTCTACGTTTATGTTCTAAATGGTGATAGGTAGAATGTTTTACCGATGAATATTCTCTATTTTGTATATTTTATTTAAAGTTATTTCCCACACTACAACATTATAAATGATTCAAAAGTTTATATGAAACCCACTTTATTCCATCTTTCTCGTGAACAGCACAGATCCTCAGCATCATCTTCAACTCAATTCAACCAACGCCTCCTATAACTGAAAGCTTCCACACGGTTTTTTACAAGTAGTCCGATCAGACCACTGAGAAGGAAATTCACTTCATTATCATCATCATCATCAACATTTATCTGGGCGCCTGGGGCCGTAAGGAAATTCACTTACCGAACGAGTCATTTAATAAAGAATATAGTTAAAATAAGAAAGTGGTAGCAAATATATGACTGACAATTAATTTTATTTATGAATATTACTGGTTTGCCTTATTCACATGTCAACCACTACAGATTCAATTCTCAAATATATAAGATATATTTCTCTGAATTACTTTTATAAAAGGACTGAGAAGAGACGCCGGACTCTGATGTGAAGGTAGCACGCTGATTGTAAGATAAGTATTCTTGCGTTTAATTTGTGCTAGTTAGTTGAAATTTACCTAAGTAAGTTTTGTTCTTTATGTGTTTATTGTGGAAGATAGTTTAGCGACGGTTGATTCTGGGTGGGACCAGGGTTTCATGGCCTCACCTACTGATTNTCTAATTCCAAAAAAAGTACTTACGTAGCGTGAAATTATCTTTCGTGATGTAACTCTTTCAAAAGTATATAAAAATGGCTGCCAGCAGGGGTGTACATGTAGATTTATTAAATACACCTTGTGCGCCACTTAGGAACCAAATCTAGAACCAGACACTCGAAATTTTTGCTCTGTTACAATCGTACCCTGTTACAATTGATCCCACTCTCCCCTACAGAAGCCTCCAAATGTATGCGTTACAATAAATGGTACTTTTCCATTTCGCCTGCCTGTGCTATAAAATCGTCAATGCAAACTTACTGCTTACAAGTAAATCCAACTGTTTTATTTTTACTATTTTATTTTTAAATGACTTAGTGATAAATAAATGGAAAAGCTCCCCATAAATAAATGAAAAGTACACTATAAACTACAATGATTAAAATCTCCGTTATTCTGATATTATTGACAATTATTCACTTCTTTTTTACGAGAAACATATATGGTTGTTGTTGTTTTTTTTTCAATTCAGTTAATCTTAATTTCTTAATTGATATTTTACTACTACTTCAGATATTGAAGGATAAAAACAGAAGTACTACAAGAATGGTAACTGCCTCGCGTTCTGGATTTGACTAAGTGGAATATTGGTAAATTTTGATTTTTTATGAAAAAAAACTTTAACAGACTCTCCACTAAAACTCTGGAAATAAGTTACAGTTAATGTGCACCTATAATTTAATAATTTTTACGTCGTGGGGGGCAAAATCATTTTCTTAACGAAACCGAGAACCAAGCATTAAAAAAAGCATTCATTTTGTTACCACTAGAGAAAATCTCCCCACAAAGAGAAGCAATTTGAAGCTCAGGAGCAGTGTTTCCCAAACTTATGACTTTTGTGTTCCCTTTCTAAATTTTTCGTAACGCTGTGTATCACTAATAAAAAAAATGAATATATTTTTTACTATAAAAAAATTGCGCTGAAGTTAAAAATCACATCTGGATGTTGACACCACTAATTATTAACTGTTAACTCTACAAAAAATAGCCTAGAGAAAAATACGGAATCGTAAATTTTCATGGCCAGCTTTGTTTTTAAATAAAACTTTTTGAAATTTTCGTTTGTTGCAAGATATTTCGCATAAGAAAGCGTACCCCCTCTAAACTGTTCCCGTAGCCCTGGGGGTACGCATACCACACTTTGGGAAACACTACTGTAGAGGAAACAGCTATGATTGTAAGAGAAATAAAATATTAAATTACTATTTAATGCATTATTTGCTGATATTTTTATCAAGATATGAAAGTGAAATATTGTCATAATAGGGAAGTTAATTCTTTTGTCAAGGTTTGAAAAATAGAAATGCATTATTTAATATGCAATATGTTCTTACTTTTTGAAAATCTGCACATTTAATTAAAGATGTTTTGTAAAAATTTTAGTACTTTGTTCCTAAAATGAAATAAAATATTTGTGATTTGTTATGTGATTTTATTTACTCTAATAATAATTAGAAATATTATTAAATCTATTATAAGACTACATTATCAGACATATGCACTATGCAGTCCACTTTCTTATCAATTAATCCATACTTTCCTACTACTAAGGAATTTCTATCGTTTCAGAAAATAATTATCCTAATGGTAAAAAATTTAGTTTATTGAAGTTTAAATAAATTCTTGAAAAATTTAAAGAATTTCACCTTTTATTACTGATAAATAATTTAAACAGATATATTAAAGGTCAGATAGTGAATTGGTTATGCTCAAAAGTCATAAAAAAATTTCATAAGTTTAATTGGTTTTAAATATTTCTAATTTTGGAGTTTGTAGCTTAACCAAACTTAACCAGCTTTACTATAGTTTTTTCGAAATATCTGACTCCAAGCAAAATAAAAAAAACTACAATAGTAACTAACACGAGAAGCAAAGTTATGGTTTTAAACTATGTATATCATCTTTCTGTTAGGAAATATCCTGGCTTTAGAATGGATGAATAACTTAGAAATTTTAAAAAATATTAAACTTTTTTCAAAAATCGCCAATTTGGCGACATTTTTCCACCAGTATGAAAATTACCAAAATCACTGCCTTATATTCAGTTTTCTCAAATTTTTATGAACCCAGATAACACCACATTGGAGTAAGTTTTTAAATATTGAAAAATTAAACAGCAAACTCTTTTCATTTTCACAAAACTGAATTTTTTCCATATTGCTGTTTTACGCCGTTTTCAGAATAAGCATAAACAACGCTGGCTTTAGATATGTTAAACTTGATTTAACAGTCCTGTCATGAGTAACTGTTGCGAACTCACAGCATTTATGAAAATAGCATATTAACCGCAAAAGGAGAAGCCTCATTTCATACGTCAACGGAGACTTTGAAAAACAGCCTTAAAGTTGCAAAATAAATGATTGTAACAAATCATTTTTATTTGCACTGTTTAAAAATTTAAGAGGTAAAATACAGGGATCAACAGTTGACTTTTTTTGGTTCCGAATACTCTCCAACAACTGTTGGCCTCCACACAGTTCCTAATAGATAGTCCGATCAGACTACTCTGACGGTAGATCAATTTCGAAAGAGAAATTTAATATGAAATATAATAAAAATAAAGAAAGTTGCGGTAAATATATGTCTAAAAATTTGTTTAATTTATGAATATGATTGGTTTGTCTTTTTCTCTTGTCAACCACTAGAGATTCAATTCTCAAATATCTATGATAAATTTCTCTCAATTACTTTTTAAATAGATTTTGGGATCATGCGCACAACTGGTTCACTTTTTAAATAGTCTGCGCAGACTACTTACAAGAAACCGTTTGGAGGCTTTTTGATGTAGGAGA